TATGTATTAATTTTTGTTATTAGCAATAATAAATTTTGTTGTTGATTTTATTAGAATTTCTGAATTGTTTGAAACTGTGACAAAAACAAAGATTCCTCCTCATGTTCGTTCTCTTACATTGTATATGTTATGTGATGATCTGGAAGGAAACGACATTGAAGATGTTCCTTATATTAAATATACATTCAGATGAACAACTATGAACAATCGAAATATAAAGAACCTTGTTAATCTGTTATTCCTTAGCAGTCCTTCTATTATGTATTATTCTCTTTGTTTATTTGTCTTTTGTATTTGTGTGTTTATCTTTGCTGTTTCTGTTATGCTAGTATTCGAGCGTACTTAAAGTAAGGGATAAATAGAAAGTAAGAATATATTTACGATGAGTTTGAATTAAACGATGATCATTCAAAAAGTTCAGAGATTGACTTTATGAAAAAAATGGGAAAAAGCACGGTGACATTAGTATTGCTGTCTATGTGTAGTTCATACAGTCCTCATTTTATAAATGTCATGAGCTCTGTTCGATTAAGCATTTTTATCCAAATATTGCAATACTTTTTAAACTGATAGAAAATTTTAAAATTTGAGTATCCTTCACTCATAAAATTTCTAGAAATGGAAGAACAATCTTCATTCAATGGCCATGAACATGAACATATGTTGGCACACATGCACCATACACTACAGTTTTAGAATAAAATTGTAGTTTCAAAAATGGGCAATTCAATATTGATGATAAGTCATGATCTGAACGACATAAATACAAAAAACAGTTCGAAACTTAATCATTGAAAGCCTCTTATCATAGTTTAGCAAATAGCGGGCTCTTTTAGTATTTCACTTGATGAATTAGATATGATTAGATTTTGTTCAACATGAATGTCACATTCAATTGCTTCTGAAAAGCTGCACGTAGTTCATGTATCAAGGTTTACTGATTCGTCGTTGAAACGACGAGCTGATTCAACAACCATCGTGGGCGGTAAGGTATTATCACTTCAATCTAGGAACGTATGTTCATGAATATTGAATTAAAATTCATCATTCAGAACATAAAATTTTGCTAAAGACTTTGGCTTTTTCTTCAGTGTATATGAGATGATTTAAAAAGTATTGCTATATCTGGACATAAGTGCTTAAGCGATCAGAGTTGTAACCGATTCGGCTGGACAAGACCGGTTAAAATGGTTGGACAGGCCGGTTTTTACCGGTTTAAAGAAATCTTTTAATCGAGAAAAATACCTCTGATCCCCCTCAGCTTTTAGTCAATTAATGACTTTCAGAATTTTCTAGACATACGATTTTTTCTGAGTAAAATATATCGAGAACAAGTTTCAGTTATTTTATTAAAATAATTGTATTGTTCCTAAAATCATCGGTTTTTTATTTTCTACTATTTGTCTAAACTTTTGAATTTTTTTAATCAAAGTTTATTTCATTCGATAAAGAGTACAATCAAAACTGTGTTGCTTGGAATAAAACTCTCAACTTATCTCATTGAGGGTTTGCTATAGGCTCAACTTAAAGTTGAATCGTCGTTTAAAGAGAAATATAGGTTTTTTCTGTAAAACCGAAGTGAAAAAACTCAAGATTTGTAGATTAACAGTCAAGTGTCGCGTACATAAGTCTTTTTTCTCACAAAAAAACATTGTATATTCCTCTTTAGGAAAATTGACAGATATAAACGACCATAACATCATATTTCCTCTTAAAGATCAAGAAAAACCTGAGAAAAAAATACGAAAATGAGTGTTTTTTGAAACCTCTCCGTATAACTGCGCGTAAATGAGCAAACAAACAGGTCCATTGATGCCGATTTTTACCGGTCTGAAAAGTGTTTTAGATTGGACCGGTGTAAAATTTCCGACCGGTTACAACTCTGCTACGAAAGCAAGTGTTGAAGTTGTGCTTCTATTTCTTACTGAAGTCTATTCGTCAGCCAATGATACATTCGAACTGTCAGTACCCATCTATACTCTGGAGAACTCATCACTTTCTGTTAAAAGTCCAATTCTGTGCGCATGTAATAATTTTACTTATTTCTCCACTGACCTCGCAAAGCAAACAGAAGCATTTATCCGTAGTCCTCAGCAATTCTCTAAACGAATAGCTAAAAACTATTCGAATATTCACAAAATGAAATAGTTGAAGCTATTCAGCGTATGCTAGTTTCAGAATGTCGAAAAAATTTTATCGATTGTATCAAATGGGTAAATTTCTATTAGTCGATATCAACCTAAGAAAAACAAATAATTCTTTTTCTTTCAAGTCACGTAATCTTTTCGAACAACAATTTCATAATACTATTGCTCAATTACTTTATAATTTTCCAGTGAACATTTTTGGAGTGGAAATAAACGATGTCCACATGTTTTGACATTTGATGTTAATAATAAACTTCATTTGGATTTTATTGTTACTGCATCAAATTTACTTGCAAACATCTATTGCATATCCCAAATAAATAAATGATCGTAAATCAATTGCTGATGAAGTTGCAAAAACACATATACCTGAATTTAAACTGAAAGCTGGTGTAACAATACACGGAAATGATGAACAAGTAAGAGCTGATCTTAAAAGACACAAAAATATAAGTGCAATGCGCAAAAAATGGTCAAAGTGCAAACGATATAGAAGCTGAACAACTTCTTAGTCGATTACCTAAACCTGAAGATGTTCTAGATATTAAAATTCAGCCACATGAATTTGAACAAGATGATGATACAAATTTTCATATGGATTATATTATAGCAACAGCAAATTTACGAGCTGAAAATTATGAAATACAAAGAGTTGATCGAAATAAAATCAAGAGAATTGCAGGAAATATTATTCCAGTTATTGCAACAACAACAGCAATGCTTACTGGACTTGTTTGTCTTGAAGTTTATAAATTTGTTCAACATCATAAAAATATAGAATCATATCAAAATGCATTTGTTAATTTGGCTTTACCATTTTTTGGATTCTCCGAACCAGTAAGATCA